CGCGGGGCACTCACCGGAGTGGGGGCGTTCACCACGGAGAGGTTGTACCCGTACAGGAAGGAGGAGCCGAAGGCGCCCATGAGAGAGGCCACGATGAGTGAGCAGGTCCAGTTCTGGGGAAGGAGAGGACAGTACATCAGACCCGCACGCGGCTGCACGTGGCTGTTTCAGCTGAATTTGGCCAGCTTCTGGCCCACACAGGGGCACAGAGCAAAGCCAGACACCGCTGCCAGCAGTAGCCGCTGGCCCTTCCTGAGAGCCAGGGCCAGGTGTTGTTCTAAGCACTCCTGGGAACTCTGTCCTGGGACTCAGAGATCACTCCTGTTTTGTCCGGATTGTATAGGTGAGGAAACAGGCACAGAGCTGCCCCGGGTGGTCTGGCTCAGCCCCACATGGTCACCCCCTCCTTCCTCTTCCTCTGGGCGCGGTGTCAGGGCCCTGGGGCTCCTGACAGCCACGCAGATACACCCACCCATGCACACACTGCTCCCGGAGGAAGGGAGGAAGGGAGGGGCCCATCCCCTAGGCTGGTAGGAGCACCTGGGGACAAGGACCTGCAGACAGAGCGTTACTGTACGTGGCCCGGAGACCCAGGCCTGCCTCCTTGTCATCCTGCCCCGTGGCTCCCTCCAAGAACGGCCACAGCCACGGCAGAACCACGGAGCAGAAACGTCCGGACCCTTTGGCAAAGGCTGGCCAGCTGACAGGAGCTGGACACAGGGAGGGCTGCCATCCTAGGCTGGCCAGGGGTGTGGGCCACTCGCCAGAGAGAGGGGGCCCAGGTGTCCTTGGAAGGCACATTCTCTGCCATCGTTCAGTGTGTGTGTGTGTGTGTGTGTGTGTGAGAGAGAGAGAGTGAGTGTGAAAGTGTGTGTGAGAGAGAGTGTGAGAGTGTGTGAGAAAGTGTGTGTGTGAGAGTGTAAGAGTGAGTGAGAGAGTGTGAGAGTGTGTGTGAGTGTGTGTGTGTGTGTGTGAAAGTGTGTGAGTGTGTGTGTGAGTGTGAGAGAGTGTGAGTGTGTGTGAGAAAGTGTGTGTGTAAGAGTGAGTGAGAGAGTGTGAGAGTGTGTGTGAGTGTGTGTGTGTGTGAAAGTGTGTGAGAGTGTGTGTGTATGTGTGTGTGTGTGAGAGAGTGAGTGTGAGAGTGTGTGACTGTGTGAAAGTGTGAGTGTGTGTGAAAGTGTGTGAGAGTGTGTGAAAGTGTGTGTATGTGTGAGTGAGTGTGAGAGAGTGTGTGAGTGTGAGAGTGTGAGAGTGTGTGTGAGAGAGTGAGTGTGTGTGTATGAGTGTGTGAAAGTGTGTGTGAGAGAGTGTGAGAGTGTGAGTGTGAGAGTGAGTGTGTGTGAGTGTGTGTGTGTGTATGTGAGTGTGTGAAAGTATGTGTGTGAGTGTGTGTGTGTCTGTGAGAGAGTGTGAGAGTGTGAGAGTGTGTGTGAGAGAGTGAGTGTGTGTGTATGAGTGTGTGAAAGTGTGTGTGAGAGAGTGTGAGAGTGTGAGTGTGCGCGTGAGTGTGTCTGAGTGTGTGTGTGTGTATGTGAGTGTG